GGAGAGGAGAGGAGAGGAGAGGAAGCGATGAGTTGAATAAGGGAGAAAGCATCCTACAGAGTGGTCCTTGTTCAAGTACTCCTGGGAGCCCACAGCTCTGTCCCTGCCCCCAAAGCCCACATACTCACTGGTGTGCAGCCAGCTGGTGAAGGTCAGCGAGCAGTTCTGTACATCGAAGGGAAAGTTATAGATATCGAGGCTACAGGCAGTCACCACCTGCAGAGGCTTGTAGTTCTGCACCTCACCTTGATGCTGAACATACACGTATGGAATACTTGGAGACTTCTCCACATCCACGCTGGCCAAGAAAGACAGATCAGATAGAGATTTCAAGAGAGACCCAGACCAGGATGTCTGAAGGTCTCTGAGCAGCCCAGGAGGGGAAGAAATGGATGAAGGGTATAAACAAGACAAACTGGAGGGTTTCCCAACATTTTTATCTTAGTTTTTGTGGCCTTCTATGGTCAGAGCTGCTCTCCAAGCAGTGAGGGATATGTCTCCTTTATTGCCCTAGCATCCTGGCCACAAAAAACAAGAAGACATCCATGGAGCCCAAAGACAAGGGGCCATGAGAACCTTGCCTAGCTGCCCTGTGCTGTTACACAGCCCCTGCTCCGGAGCCAGACAGAAACTCATTCCCTGACTGCCAGCACTGTTGTTGAAGGCAGGCTTGGGGCGACAGAAAAATTCTGTGTCCTGACTTTACCATTTTATTATTCTTCTTTCCTAGAAGTCCTTGAGATCCTCTCTACCAGAAGAACTAGAGAATTCATAGATAAGAATTAGGGGAAACTCAGGAAAGTCCAGTAAGACTTCATCTCACTCTTTTGACAGATTCCAGATCCCTAGGCTCTCCTGAGTGGTCACAATGGCATGAAGCAACTGAGCTGGAGCCCTAGGCTTAGCCTTCGGTGGGATCAGTCTAGGGGATGAGAAGTCAGGACTCATACCACTTCACTGTTGAAATTAGAAATCCAACCAGGAATGAATTTCCCAGAATCCCTTTAGCCAGAGCTAGGCAGGACCTTAAGGGGTAGGGCAAAGGCCAACTCCTTCCCTTAGGAAACTCTCTGTGGAGTTAGGTGATTCTGTTATTGGATGGACCCACTTGTCACCTTCCACTTTGTATCAATTCTCCCACACATTTTACCTGCCCTTGAACTCTGAAGTCCAGCTGGAGGACCCTGCATGAACTTGCAGCATGGGGACAGTCTTTTGGCTGGGGTCAAATAGGACTGTGTTTGGCTCTTGTTCGGAATAAAGGCTAATGGGATCCCTTTCATATTGGAGGTGTAATTTGTGGCTGGTTAGGCACTTGTGTGGTTTGGGAAGTTTGAGCATGTTCCTTAGCTCCAAATCTCTTCTGTGGCCAGGTGCAGTGGCTGCCACCAGTGTTCTATTCCTTCCAAAAACATAACTGTTCCCTTTAAAAATGCAGCTGTCCCCATTAGGCTATTATAACTCTGTGAATTCATTCACTGGCTTCTTTCCCTATGACGTGGGCCCTTGGACTAATAAGTACATAGTTTCAACATCAGGCACAGAAAAAAAGAAAGCTTTACAAAAGGAAAGAAAAGCAAAAACAAAGAAGACTGAATTCAAGCTAACTTTATCTATAGCCTGCAAGTGCAGGTCTTGCAGCAATCTTGTTACCCAGTGCCTGGCTTCTCTAGCCCCTGAGCCAACCAGCCACCCAGGCTCTTGCGACAGTACTCACAATTCATTTATGAGAATGTCTGGGACCCAGATGCTGTCTGTGGGAATGGACAACTTGGTGATGTTGTCAAAGTCCTCAGGGTTCCACTGGAGAAATTCATCAGCCCAGAACTAGGAGAGCAGCAGGAATAGTCATAGACAGCCTCTCCATATGGGTTCAGGTCACCTGCAACTCAAGCAGGCTTCAGCCCTCATGCTCAGGAGACAAATGGGCATCTTCTTGCGGAAATCTGGGTGTCAATAGCACCCAAATCACTCACTAGTAGCTGAGACCCAGCACTCACACACACACAGACGCACACACACACACACACACACACGCACACACACACACACACACTCTCTCTGTCCTAACACTCTCCCTCCATGCATGACAATATGGACAGATGCAGTCTCTATCCCAGGAAGGCATGCCACCATTCCTAATGTCAGAACATGCTAGCTACCAACTTCAGGACCTTGGCCAAATAATTTCTGGTTCTGAGCCAGCAGACTGCGGATAATACCAACCCCCTCACAGAGCAGAGATGGCTATTGTTACATTCTGATTAATGCATTCTCCACCCTAATGACAGAATGGCCATTCTGAAAGATACATTTAAAATTCTTCTATCATGCTCTTAGGATAGTTAAACTTTATGTGCCCATGAATTCCTCCACCTATCCCTTTAGCCTCATTTTTGATTTGGCTTTCTGTAAATTCTGTACTTTAGCCTTGTAGAGTTAAACACTATGGAAATCTCTGCACCTCTGTGAACCTGTTCTTTCTCTTACACTGCAATTTCTGTTTTCTTTACCAACGTGCTTCCCCCTCGACCCCTTTACACTGAGCCAAGGCATCCATGCTCCCATTTCCAAAACACCTCCCACGACCCCAGGTCCCAAGCTGGGAAATATGAGCCTCCTTTGTGCTCCCGTGAGGGCTGGAGCAGCTGTTGCACTGTACTTCAATGGTCTGTCCATGTGCCTGTTGTTTCCATTAGTCTGTGAGCTCAGTGTGAACCAGGGCCCAGTCAAGTTGTGTATTTAATTCCCGTCTTTTAGCACCATCGCTGATATGCAGTGGATTGACCTCCCCTCCCTGCTGACTACAATCAGCTGAGGCAGAGAGGTAGGTGACCCTAGAGGCCCAGAGATGGAACCCAGGGAAAGGAGCTGTAGGGTGTGCTCTATATTAAGGGATTAACATTCTGGCTTATTCCTCTACCCAACTTCCTGTCCTGTGAGACGCTGGAGTTGAAGGAGTGTGTCGAGATTACAGGAGAGGATTTCACAGAGACCCATGTTCACTGGCTGTGTCTCCAAGGTCTTCTGGGTTGGCCTCTGTGAGCTGTCCTCATCCTCCTGCCCCTGCTCTTTACCTATGTCCCTTTCCCTTCTGCTTGGCTTTCTTTCCCCAACCCCAGCAGCTGCTAGAACAGGACTTGCCAACGGTAGCAGCCTTTCTCTCCCCCATAAGCCCAAAGCCAGAGCTTGACCAAGACCTGTGCTCATCAGAAGCTGGACCAGTGGGGACACAGCCAAGGCCCTAAAGGCACAGTGGATGGAATCATCCTGTTTTACCCAAGGTGACTGTTGTCCCATTAATAGGAAAAAGAACTTTCTAGCAATTAGAACTGATTGAAAGTGAAGTTGCTGCCTTGTGAGTTCCTGGGTGCTAGAAGTGGTCCTTCAACAGAAGTTAGACAAGAACTTCAAAAGAGGAGGAAGCTCCCAGCTCCCCTCCACTGAGTTTTAAGCTTCCTTCTATTCTCTCCTGAGGTGAGAATGTTCCAGACTCCCGGATCTCATACTGAGTGTGCCTTTGAACCTCTCCTCCAGCTTTTCCTCATGAGAGTCACTGAAATTACTGGCTTCTTCAGATGGAAAAGTCCTTCCTAGGAGGTAAATCCCTAACCCAAGAAGTGGGCTGAGGGGAGCTGCTCTACTCACCTGCCTGTACCAGATGTAGGTGGTCAGTACTTGATTCTTCTCATCCTGAGAAAGGAAGGGGAGCCCAGGTAGGTGGCCCTGCTCACAGCACCCCCCCAAATGAGCCGTTTAAATGTAGCCCATTGCCCTGGGTTACACTTACTATTCATATTAAAAATTCTGAATACCTTCTATTGTTTTCATCCATTGTTATACAATTATATTATAATAGAAGGTATATATATATATATATATATGTATATATACCTTCTCTCTATATATCTCTATATTTTATATATTGCATTATGCTATGAATAATATATACCAGTAATGGCAAACCTTTTAGAGATGAGTGCCCAAACTGCAATGCAAAACCCACTTATTTATCACAAAGTGCCAATCCTGCAATTAAATCTGAATACTGAAGTTTTAGTTTAGAAAAAACAACTCATACATTAACATCTCTTGTTTTAAAAGAAAGATGAATAACACACATGCCATAAGTTTGGCACCACTGATGTATATTATACATAGAGTTATATGTAACTTTATTATTATATATAACTTATGTACAGATATTTGTCATTTCATGACCTACCAGTTTAATAACTATTTGGACTTACAACTGAAGCTCGCTGTTTGGACTTACAACCTGCCGCTCTGACTTATGATTTGTCTTTTTTTTATATACAGTTCTGTTCATCTTATTTATAGAGCCACTATGTCTTTTTTCTGTATAGTACACCTTGTTTATACAGTACTGTAATTTTTGCTGATTGTAAGCACAGTACATACTGTAGCTGCATATATATATATATATATATGTTCTGTTATATATTATAGTACTGCATGTAAATAGTTATGCAAATAAAAGCAAAGATATTGAGGCTGTATAAACAAGATGTGCAGAAATAAAAGGTGAGTTGTAAGTCTGAGCAATGGGTCGTAAATGGCGTGCCTTGGATCTAAGTCTAGTCGTTATGCTGGTCTCTCTATAGAGAAAGGGTGGGGGGGTGCCTTGGTATGAAATCGAGAGGCACAAAACCACATAAAGTGAACAAAATGTATCACCCATCCCTCACATAAGGACTAGTTTCCCTTTTTTAAGCACCATGGTAACCAGTTTGCCGCACTGTGCTGCCTACCGGGTGATTTCTCCCTCCCCTACAGGTCCATGAGAGCGTGGGTGGGGCAGATGGGGCTGTGTGCTCACCACACTGAGGATGGCATAGACGATGACGTCGATGGAGATGGTAGTGGGTTTCCTCCAGTCTCGCACGGGCCGTACGCCCTTCCTGTAGTCAGCCAGGAGGTGGTCTGCCAGCCTCTGCAGAGCCGGCCCGTTAAAGTTGTGAGCCTGGGCTGTCCCCCTCTCCCTGGCTGGAGAGGAAAGCAGTTCAAAGTGAAAATGAGAGCCCCCAGTCCTCCCCTGGTTCTCTTGCCCTGCTTTGTAAGGTATTGAAACAAATGTATCCACACCTCACAAAATTCCCTTGTCCCTCCCCTCAAACTGAAATTTCCATCACTAGAATGTTTTGTGTGTACAGGCTCCTGCCAAAATTCCAGTGGATTTTCACATAGGGTTCCCAGCACCTTTGTGTTCAGAGCAGCAGGGAGTTGTCAGGGCAGGTGACAGGAGCCAGGAAAGGGCTGCATAAATAGAGAGGAGGTGGGCTAAGGGGTATGGGGAAGGGGTCCTGGCAGCTAGAGGGAAGTGGGCCATGAGCGTGTGTGTAACACTGACAGGCAAGAGGGCCAGGAAGAAAATGCAGCCCCAAGTGCACAGTTTCTAAGCCCACTGCTCTGCACCAGGGATTCCTCTGCCAAGGTCAGATCGCAGCATCTACACAGTTCATTGTCTCCTTCTTGACCCCAGTCTGCAACTGGCAAGGAAAGAAGAATGGGTGGGCATCTGCCAGAAATGGACATTCCCTCTGCATTCTGCCAAAGCCACACATGCTACAGGGGAAGGAGTGCCAGGACCTCTTCCTAGGGTGGCAGGCGCAAACTAAAGGTTGGGAAGGAGGTTGGGGAAGTTATGGAGGGAGCCAGGAGGAACCAAACTGCTCCCAGGAAATGAGGCTACTGGAACACAAAAGCAATATGAAAGCCCAGTCACAATTCAGCTGCCAGACCTGGCTTCCACCAAATAACACCACATACCCTCCTCTCTCCTTGGCCCTGTGTGCCCACCATACAATCAGTCCTGCAGGTTGCCTTGTCCATCTACCCGGACACTCTGTCAGCCTTCCTCAGAAGGACAGAGACCAGCAAAAGAGGGAAAGTGACAGACTATTTTTTGAGCCTCCTTTGGAATAATGTTGGTTGACAGAATCTTCAGTCTCAGAATACTCTGCTGGGGTATCTTACATAACAACAGCCCACTTTGCTGAGAAGGACGCCAAGGCTCAGAGGGGTGAGAACAGTGCAGTCAGTGCAGGGACTGAGATTCTAAATCAGACCCTTCTTGTCTCTTCATGATTGAGACTCTGATCTGCTTGGACAGCACCAGACTGATCCAAGTGGGCCACAGAGCAAAGAGCCACCGCTGGGAGGACAGAGTGTATCCCAGCCAAGGAAGCCCCTGACACTTTGGCCTACATTTTCTCCCTCCCCACTGAGCTTCTCCCAAGGCCAACCCGCAGAACATCATCTTGCTGGTGCCTTGCACATATGTCCAGCCCCTGGGTGGCACCTTTCCCGTGTGCCCTGGATGCTCCAAGCCAGCTATGTAAGGGGAAAACTTTCCTGTGGGGAGCGAATGGGGTTGGCAGCAGAAGGAACCGGACCCTTCTGTGATGAAAGCACCTGTCTGCAAGGGAGTCAGGATGGGAGGGAGGTGGGACACAGTTTGGTGTTACTGGAGCTGAGCCCTGGAAGGGACATGCAGGGAACCAAGGCACAGGGAACCCCAGCAATGAAGATGAGGAAAGGTGACTAGATAATTTCCAGTCCCCACTCTGCTGCTGAAAAGCTGTGTGGTCTTGAGTGAATTACTCCCTTCTCTGGACTACGTTAATCAGGAAAAGGCCAAAAGAACTCACAAGTTCTTTGATGAGTTTAGGGACTGGGCAAAGAGAAAAAGTGCCCTTCTCCTGCTACCTGTGGATGTTTCTGTGAAGGCTGCTGCCATGCTTCCCTCTCAGCAAGTCCTGCTGTCTTACCCCAGACTCGAAGTCTCCAACCTCAAAACACCCCCATGCCCATATGTGGTGAGGTAGCCAATCTTCCAGCAACCGCACAGCCCCAAACTCACCTTTCTTCAACCCGGGGAGGATGAATCCCCCATGCCCCAGCTCTGCCAATAGCCAGCAGATATGTTCCCCATCCTCCTTACCTTCTCCCTGGGCCAGGAATGTGGGGAGGAGCAAAGCCAGCAGCGCCTGCTGGAGCCACAGCGACATGGCGAGCTTCCCGCTCGTGTGAGGGCCTCAGAGCACCACTCAGGGTGAGCTCCGCTAAAGGCCAGCCTGCGAGCCCTCTGCCAGCCTCAGGCCCAGTCAGCCTGCTTCCCCTGCTGCTGCCTTCTGAGGCTGCAGCCGGGCACTTTGCAGGCCACCAGAGTTGGGGAGCCGCCAAGTTTTCCTACAGTCAGTCCTTCAGCTGGATCAGGTTTCTGGGAAGGAGGGGAGGGGAGGGAACCGTGGGAAGGGGAGCCCGCCCTGGCTCATGGCAAGTGTCGGGAGCTCAGTCCTCCCACCCAGCTAGGTGTCTTGGCCATTATTCCCTCAAATGTAACTTTAGGCCAGGGGCTGCAGGGATCTGGGGAGCAAGGCTGCCACCTGACCACTGGCAGGCTGGGCTGGTGGGATGCATTAGGCAGGAGAGGGGAGCATGGGTCCTTTGGCTCCTCAGGGTGACATAATCCCCCTAGCCAAGCAGATCAGGGGTCTCTGCTAACAGAAGTCTGACCTTTCGTCTCCATCAAAATATTCCTATTTAAATAGTAAAACATGTAGAGAAAAGCATACATATTTTATACTTACATGTTTTTAAACATTTTTAGTGGATTAGTAAGTATATGTAGTAAAAATATAATAGTAATACATACTTATTGTTAAAAATCATGAACAAGGGCCCATGAATTTAGCTCAGTGGCACTGCACCTGCCTTGCAAGCCCAAGGTCCTGAGTTTGATCCCCTGAAACAATAACAACAATGAAAATCATAAACAAGTAAAACCATCTGTAGTTTACTGCCCAGAGACAGCCATTGTTTTTTTTTTAATGTATTATTTAATTTACATGAAGCTTAAGAAGTTCAAATGAGTCTATGCGGTTAGACATGAGGGTATTGCTTGCTCTTGGAGGGGTACTGAATAGAAGAGGATTTGAGTACTGGGGGGCACTAGTGTGTTTATTTTGTGAAAACTCATAGCATTATACACACAGGATTTGTGTCCTTTCCTTTGTGTATTCCAACCTAAAGTTTTTAAAAAGCCAGCCAGATCTCATCTCTTCCCTACTTATTACCTGCAAAATGGTTTCCCAAACAACAGAAACCTTCTTGAATTCTACAGTTGAAGTAATTCCACTGACCCCTGCCTTTATTCTCAATCACACCATCCTTTTGTATTTACATCAAAACCATGATATTAATTTGTTAGGGTGAGATAGGCATTGTTAGCATTTCAGTGTATATTCTATAATTTCCCTCTTCATTAGATGTACAATTAAATAAAAACATAGTATTTATACTTTCATATCCCTCCTTCCTTTTTTGCATAATGTCATACCAGCAACATTTTTAACAACTTCCTTTATTTTTGGTAGAAGAGATCGAATTTAGGACCTTGTGCTTGCGAGGTAGGCATGGTGCCATTGAGCTCCTTTTAAATGTGGCTTTCTTATTCTCTCTTCTTCTTCTTCTTCTTTTTTTTTGTTGTTGTTGTTGTTTGTTTTTTGAGACAGGGTCTCACGTAGTTAAGGCTGGCCTCAAACTCAGTTTGTAGTCCCAACTGGCTTCAAACCCACAGTGATCTTCCTGCCTCAGTTTCTTGAGTGCTGGGATTATAGGCGTGTGCCACCATGCCCAGCTAATCTTTTCTTTGTGATCATATGATCTATGACCTTAAACTGAGCATGTTCAAAAATGTGCTGGGATTACAGCACAACCAGCAAATGTGGTTCTCTTGAAAGAGTTGTTTATTTTCTCTTTGTACATTAACTGGCAAGTAGATGTCCCTCAGATACTCAACTGAGTGCTCAAAAAATTGTCTGAGGAAAGCATTGATGTGAATTTCTATTTGAAGGAGCCCTACCCCAATTCTCTATGTGGGTAATGTGTGGAGTTTTCCACCTCGACTGTATTAAAGCCAAGATACATCTGTATTAATCATGGCAAGCTTCAACAATGAAATATTTCATTCCTTTTCCAGTTGAATGTGGGTATGGAATAGACTGAAAATACTATAGGAAGTCTGATTGTGGTTAAGTTTAAAAAATAAACTGGGCCAGGGATTTAGCTCAGGGGTGCCATGCCTGCCTTGCAAGTGCAAAGTCCTGAGTTCAATCCTTGGTACTGCCAAAAAACAACTACTTTGGTCAGGGCGGAGTCCTTTTCTTACTCTTATGCATTATGGAGTCTGCATATAGCACGAAACCTTCATGGGGTCACTGCATATGGCCATTCACCAGGATCTGGCTCTGGAAAGTCCAGTCGAGCCCATCACCTTGGGCCATCCTTATAAATCACATGCTTCATCCCTGAGGAACTCAGAAAAATAAGGAAACTCAGCCCCCAATAATTTCCTTTGGGAGGATGGGGATGAGGAAGGTGGTAGAATAGGATGTGTGGTTAAATAGGAGACCCCACACTTGCAGGGAATGTGTAGAGCTGGATATGCCCAGAATGAAGGTACTCACAGCTGATGTTTGATAGGCAAGGCAAGAAGAGCCAAACTGTCTCCAGGGCCTTCAAGCTGAGGTCTTGGAGCAGCTTAAGCTTTGGCAGAGCACTGCCAAAAGCGCTGGATTCCTAACTGCACCTAAGCCTAAAAAAGACCCTTACGCTCTTGATTACATTGACTTACGGCCATGCCACTTAGCAATCTGTGGTAGATTGCTACAGGAACTTCTCTTGTCCATATGTATCAGGAAATCTGCACATAGCTTTATACCACTTATTGTTGAAGTCCCTTCATGTGGCCATATACCAGTGTTTGGCCTTTAACTGTAACACAGCCACTTGGGGTTACCATGATAGTCATTTTATCATTAGAGAACACATACTTAACTGCTTGCTACACCCTAACCAAGATTCCCAAATGCTCTGCTGTGCACCTTTTAGAATCATGGTGCATAGTCATGAAGCCCTCCTCTACCTTTTGCTCTGAGCTGAGGCTGGTGTGGCCTGAAGGCCACCTCTTCCATAGGGCCAAGCCATGAGGAGCCACAGATCTGTGAACCATTAGGAACTGACCTTGTTCCGAAAGGGGTCACACTACATCAAGAGGGAAAAGTGCAAGAAGAAACAGAAGGTAAAACAACATAAAAGAGGTTCGGGGTCTGGAGAAGAAGAAAGGAGAGAAGTTAAAAAAAAAAAAAAAAGAAGAAGAAGAAGAAGAAAAGGAAATAAGCCAAGAAGGAAAGCTGGGTAAGAGACTGAAAAGGAAAAGAAAGACAGGAGAACATGGTGAGGAGGAAGAAGAAAGAGAAATGAAAGGAGAAAGAGGAAGGGGAAGGGTGAAGCAAAGCTGCAGGAGGTGGCTGAACTCTGAGCCCAGGGAGTGGGAGTGTCATTTGCCCCTCCCCATACGCCACCCTAGAGAGTGGGTCCTCCTAACTGCAGAGTGGGAGCCCACAATGTGCATGCATTGGGACCCATTAAGAGACTCTGAGAAAGCCTGGAGACTGTCCCTTGGGCACATGCCTTCATTTCTGCATTATCTCCTGGCCTCCTCTGGGGCAGTCCAATTGGGTTAAGAGGCAAGAGGATGTTTTCTATGCAGTGTGTGCATTAGAGAATTAACTCCTTAGGTAACGAGATTAGAGGGAGCCGGGCAGGCCACAGCCTCCGATGGAGATGTATTGCCTGTGTGCCTCTTTGATGAGAGACAATCAAGTTTCCCCTGAAGAAATTTCCTATTAATGGATTTGATGGCACAACAGACAGGAGGGAGTTGGAGCTGTGGCCAGTGGCAGGGTGTAAATTGCCTCAGATGAAACCATGGAGTCACTTTTGCCCCTTTTAAACAAGATAAGAATTAGTTTGAGGCCTTGATGAACTTGTCTTGGCCAGTGGGGATGAGGGAACGGCAGAGACCTGGCTAATTTGATTCTGGAGCTCTGCCTGCAGACGGCCGGTCTCCTCCCAGGGAGTGGAGGCAGACACACAGATGGCAGTCAGCCAGCCTGGTTAATGAAAAGCTCCCGGACGGCTCACCCACAGGCCTTCTTTTTGTACCCAGTGCTCCCAGTGGGCTCCCAGGGAGGAGGACTATTTCCACCCTTTGTGGGCACTGTCATACCATTATGCCCCTCTTCTTGCTCCCATTTTCCAGGTTAAAACACAGAGCTGAAAGAGCCTCCCTGACTTGCCTGAATTCCCACAGCTAGCCAGGATGGCTTTGAGATCCTCCAGACCCCTGACTCCAGCCTTTTCCATTACAGCTGTGTTTCCCATCTCCTGCAGTAAATTTTTACTGGTCTGTAAAGCTTTTACCACCAAAGTGTCTGACCTTTTAAAGCCTTGTAAACTTTCCAAAACTCTGTGACCCGTAATAGTAACATCTGGCCACACTAGGGGCCCACCTGCCAAAGAACAGCTAGGAGAGGCTTCTGGTCTGTCATCACAGTGCTAAATAGATGTTTCTCCCTGCTGCCTATTGCCTTGAGGAGAGGGCTCCCTGGAACCACTGGCTGCACTCTCAGGCGTGGTGCTTGCTCACACCTCTGCCTGTGCTGGGCTCTGAGAGGGAGACCAGACAAGCGCATCCTCTCCACTACCCAGTTTCAGGGACCTGACATATCCAACTTGGATTTTGAAAGATTTAGGGGCTGTCTATTCAGAGAGAGGGTAGAAGCCAGCAGGACGGGAAATGCCTGACAGTCTTCTAAGTACCCCCTGCCTGAAAAGGTAGTAATAGCCTTTATAGGAAGGAGAGAGACACAGCAGTGTTCTCACCATAAGAGTTCCTTCCTTGATGTCCCATCAAATGTGGCTGAGTCCTTTGTGCCACCAAAGTCCTGGGTTCCTGAAATGGCTGGTTCTATATCACCTCAACAACAGTACTCACTATTTTTTGAGCATGTACTATATACCAGGCCCTGTGTTTAGCTGTTGTCTTACTTACTCTTTGTCTCCTGTGAAGAAGATATAATCATTATTTCCATAGTGCAGACAACAAAATGAAGCAAAGAGATAATAGCAACCTGTGCAGTGTTAAGTAGCTGATAAGAGGAGGGTGTGGTACTGATTTAGAGATGGAAAACCTTGGGCTCCGAACAGCCTGACTGCACAGAGAGCGCTGAATTCCAGTGCTCAATTCTCTGGAATGTAGATCCAGACTGATTGGACTCTGGCTCCCACATCTCCCCATCCCTTACC